TTTTTTTTTTTTTTTTTTTTTTTTTTTGTTTTTTTTTTTTTTTTTTTTTTTTTTAGCTCTATGGGCATTACGTTGAAATGCGTTCACCGTGATGCAGGCGGTCGGAGTGAGGCTGTTGGAATGGCAGCAGTTCGACGCGGACAGCTCCGTCGGTCGCGAGATCAGGTTCACTCAATTCTATTCTGCCAGTGAGTCCCTCGGTGGTTGAGGATTCGTCGTAGGAAGGTGATGAGTTTATATCAAACACTCATCGTCAAAAAAAGGTTCCACCAAGAAGGAATTAAGCAATTTAGATGGAATTGAGTTAATAAACTCCTTGCACGGTGTTATGAAATCGATGAGAGTTTTAAGGCGTATGCTGAATATAAAAAAAACCTTTAAAGCACTACAATTTGCATTGGGGCGAGGGGGTCGTACTAACCTCCCAACAAGGTCAACAAGAATTTTACTCATTAAATATGGAACGAGAACTTTTACAGATGTGCAATTACCCTCATCCATCAAAAGCTCGAACAACTCGGTCAAATTATTTTCAGAGATTTCATCTCGACATGGCTTCGCAGTTAGCACCCAACAGTAACCCAATAGCAAAGGAACTCAAGGGAATAGAAAAGGATCCCTTACGAAACGTCCACCTCCCATGTGGATTTGGAACCAGTTGGATGTCCCCATAGGCGTAGTTCCACCTGTTGGAGCGATGTCCGCCCGGGGGAAAATAAACCCGGTAGGGAAAATCCACCTGGCTCGAAATACATATGCGCCAATGGCTAGGTGGATTTCCACTGGGTGGGATGTCCTCCTGGTTCCAAATCCATCCCCTATCCACCTAGGTGGCTAGGTGGATGCAGGTGGACGTTTTGTAAGGGAGAAAGTAGCTCCATCTATGGCGTCTTCCTCAGATGCTCGGCAGGTTTTCTCTACATCGTCTCATCCTAGGTCTTGAGACATTGATCAATTTTCCTGCATATCAATAAGAGTAATAAATTCCTTTAAGTGGTTCTTTTGAGATATTAGTACCGCGGTTTCGTCTCCATTCATATACCAGAGTTTGCTAGTTCTCTTAATGAATATTCATCCTTCGTTAAAATTCTAATCGCTCTCAAGACACTGCCACGAGCTTGTGTGCCTAATTGTGTGCCGAAATCTTTCGACTCCTTCTCGATGGCACTTTGACGTAAGAATTTTCAAAGCACAAGGTCGTCACACTGACTATTTGATTTTCCATGCAGAAGGAACGACTAGAACATGTTTTAACTGGTTCTCTCCCATCCCCCACTTTGCGTAGGCACAGGATCAGTGGCTCTTCAAGAATATTCCCTGACCGACGATGGCATGTTGGTGACTATCTTCAGCCCAGGCCCGAACCAAACCCTCAACAATATCGCCTACAACTGCTCCATCGGCTCAGGCGTCGTCGTCTCCGCTCTCGTCAGGCTCAGGTACTTCGGATCTCCCCTCATCCGACTCAATTCCTTGCATGAACTCGAACGCGTTAGCGATCCCGGCCAGCGATGCAATGACTTTTCGACGTGAGTGCATCGAGACGGAGCCGATGCCAAGCCATAAGCTCGATTTTGAGGAAGAAAAGTGTGAATGGAGCTTGCGTTCGGCCCATCTACCGACGCTTGTGTCGAGAAAAATTGAGGCCCTTTGAGAGAACCATCATGAAATAGCAGCTAAGACGAAGGACGAATCCATAGAAGGCTATAAAATACAGGTAATTGACTTTCGCCTGGATTCATCGGATTTGTCCGGGACTTTACCAGGGCGAAGACCCTCTTTTGCCTCTATGGCGGTTCCACTTGAGTCTCTTCAAGGTTCATAGACATTTAAAAAAAAAAAACAGCCAGCACCTTGCCGTGGAAGTATTTTGCTCATTTCAGCAGTATACTACTCCCTCAGAAGATAATCATCTTCAAGAGGAAGTAGTTCAATAAATATCTTTGGAGGCCAAGATGAACAGGTGTTGACGTTCCAGGTCGACCATATCCTGGAGACTCTATTGTTCTCTCGTTTAAGTCGATCACAGCCATCTCAGAGCTCTTGCTTCATTTGCGGACTCTTCACACACATGTCAGAGTAAGCAATTCAGCCTTTGAGACTTGATCGAATGACACTTAATCGTTGGTAATTTCCAAATTCCTGTAGATCTTCAGTTAAGAGCAATGGGACATCAAGTTGTTGTTCCCAAAATGTTTTTGTAGTCTGAATTTAAGTGATCACGAGTAGGTTCTCTCGCGGTTGTGTTCGCGAAAAGAACGACGCGGTAGCGCGCAATCCGAGGGTGAAAGAGCAGTGAAACTCTCGGTAAAAATACCAAGAATTTACCAAATACCAAATACCTGGCAGACTCAGGGTGAGAATGTGAGAAGAGAGTTTACACATTTCAGGCCTCGACGCGATCGCCGTTTTTCGAGTCGAATCGTACGAAGTACAGATATTTGACATTTTCTCGAAGCCTCCCTTCCCTCAAAAAGATGACGTAAGAAGGCAAAAAATGCAGCTTCGTCCATCTCGTCGACAGCGAAGCGAACCGAGTTCTCGTTTTCCTCCAGCCTTCCCCTGGAGAGCTACTTCGAAATATACGCAGCAGCCCTGGACGGAGACCATTTGGAAGTCCAGATCGACTACGAGCGATGCAGCGATCCCACCGGCGGCGGATCCAATTTCACCGGAGTCACCAGCGGCGCTTACCTTCAAGAAATGTTCATCGACAATCCCGATAGTAATTAGCCATCGCAATTGGTAATTTTATTCCTTGGGAAAATCTCCTATCGGAAATCTCTTCTTTCCTTCTCCAGGCATCGACTCGATCATCTTCACCAGCGCTTACGCCTTGGTGACCAACTCGATAACCGGAGAAGGGTTTGCTTACAGCTCCGTCGACTTGAGTCTGAATCGCAGCAATGTCGCCAGGGTCGTCCCTGCCTACTGGTCGGTCGAAGGGGATCTACCAATCAACCTTTTCGGGAATATCTACTTTGAATGTACCTTGGGCGAGGGTCTCATCGTCTACGCCAACAGGCAGGATTAATTCATCGTCGACTACGAGGTTGATGGCCATACGATGATCTATATTATGTGCAACGTCATGCAACAAAGTCCACTTAGAAAAACCCCAGTCTACACAGTAATATTGCCTCCAAATTGATCATTTGTGAACTACAGTATGTTGATGGAATGTTGACGGGATTTTGATGCTGATGGGGCACTGCAAAGTTAACTTTGGTTCTGGAATTGGGGGGGGGGGGAAGGAAGTATCACTATTGCGAGCACAAGGAATTCGCGTTGCACTTTGATTGAGTGCTCAATGTCGTCTATGTCCCATCAACACGATGTCAGACGAGCCATCTGGCAGCCATTCCAAGAAACAAAGTTAACAAACCCACAAGTGAGATTGTGACTTGACCACCAACACAGCGAGTTGCTCGATTTGTGCAACTGGCACGAGTCACGAATACTTTTGAAACGGTACTTCATCATCGCTCCACTGACGTCACAGCGAAAGGAATAAAAATTCGGGTTGGGCTTGATAAGACTTGGCGAGAAACGAAATTCAAGATCTTGCCAAGCGTCTCGTTTGAAACCCAACCCTAATTTTAAAAAATCCTGGGTGCATTTGACGAAAGAGGCCACCCAACCCAAGGAGACCCAAGGTGATTCTGAGCCAGGGAACGGAGAGAGGGAAGTTCGAGTGATGATCCGACTCCATTGGGACCCACCCCCCGCCCCCTTTCCCCCAAAAGGGAAATCAGAGAGCGATGCCTTTGAGATAAGGTGATACCTGCCCCTATTTTCCTGTTATGTAAGCTTCGCGTTTGCAGCTGGGGGGGGGGGAAGATACCACAGGGTGAAACCTCATGCCACCTTCCTGCGCCACGAAGCCTAAATGATTCCGGGAGAAACTGTAACAAAACCTTCCTCATTTATCTCTTCCCAATCAAACCTCCAATCGCACAACTTTTCTTTTTGTAGTCAGCCTAGGTATTACACAAGGAGTAGGAAATGATTTTGATCTCCGCAAGGGATACGGATGGACTCGATAGGATTCACCCGAGACAAAGGGACGGAGAGACAAACAGACATCGGTTATCGTTGGGGCTGATTAGATGGAGAATCATCGAGAAAGACGAATAGAGGGGATTGTAAAGGAGAGACGTACGGGATCTCCCGTGAAGTCTGTGTTGTCGCAATTGGCGGTGCTGAAAACGGCGGAGATGTGCTCTCCGTCCGACAGGGCCGCCACCAGGTCATCGTAGGAGGTGATTGTGTTCCATCCTGAAATCGCACGGACGAAGGTGACATCGACCGAATCATTCGAAGATGCTCGGGGCCAGCAACGGCCCCGAGCATCTTCGAATGCTCGCGTTGCAGTCGATCTCACCTTGCCCTCGAACGAGGACGGGGAGCAGCGACAGGATGAGGTGCAGGGCGCTTCGCATTGCGGTGGGAGGAATCTCTTTCCTCGCTTTTCCACTCGTTCTTCTATATGAGTTCTTTATCGCATGATGGAGCAGTTTCGAAACCGAAAGGTGCCCAGCTGTTGAAATTCTCAGCCGTCCCTTTTCGCTTCTCAAGACCAACAGGGAAGATACCCAAGCTCGGGCTGAGACAGGTGACGTGGCAGCACGTGACGCATTTGCCCATCGTTGGCCGTTTCAAAATACATGTATAGCATAAAATTTTAAAAAGTATTGCAAACGCCGCTTATTGTGATCACTGGTTATCAGCCGGACAATGTGATCAAATTTCCTTGTACCAACGTGATCACAACAAACGGCGTCTTTGTAATTAATGTCGATATTTACCTGTTCCTTCGCACTTGTTACGAGACTTCTGCTATTTAATATCCTATTCTTTTTATGCGGATCATCTGAATGAAGTTAATGCCTAAACTTCCTGAAAAATTTGCGGAGATCCGGGAATATTCTCCATGATAGAAGGCAGCCATGATGCAGGATACCTAATTATTCCTGGAAGACTTTCATAGGTCTGATGATGACTGGCCTGAACTGTTTTCCTTCATGGATTCGGGTTCCCGATTTTTTGAGTTAGCCAAAGTTCCAGACCTGCTCATGCTGGGATTGCTGGGCCTACAAGGTACATAATGTTACGCCGTCCTCAAGTGATCACAGTCGGCCAATTTTACCACAGGCCTAAGACATCAAGTCAATCGAACATAAAGTTAACGTTCCAAGGCAAACATTGGCTCGAGGGAGCGAATGGCAACCACGAAGTTTACGGTAGAGGTGATTGCGGGTCATTGCAGGGCGTGCTTCCGTCCCTTGTGGGACTGGCTCCGACTATACCGCGGTACCTGTTCCGATACTCCGCCACTCTGCAGGCCCGCTTGAAACTCTATGGATCAGTTGAAACGCCTGCATTCTGCTGCGACCTGAGGTTTGGGATCCATATGCATAATAAAACGGAGAGTTGGAAGGACTCGATGGGGCCTAAAGGTTCCTTTGAGGACCGATTACACTTGCATTGCCTGTGCTGCATTCCACCGCGTAGGCATTTAGGAGAAATATGAGATTCGATATCGGGAAAATCCCATTGGGACAAATGATTAATTTTCGCCATGAATCCAACCAATGTGGCGTTAAAATATTGTCACAGAGCAAGCGATGAAAATCATAATAAACGCCAGTCCTGCTTGCACCATTCTACCTTACTGTCTCCGCATGCAGTTCTTCCTATTATTTCTCCCGAAATGGTAGAAATACATCAGATACGTCTGATGTATAAAAAATGAAAGCATTTTGAAAAAGCTGAAAAGCTGAAAGACGCTGCAAACGCGAAGCTTACATAACAGGAAAATAGGGGCAGGTATCACCTTATCTCAAAGGCATCGCTCTCTGATTTCCCTTTGGATTCCCGTTGTCTCCAGTCTTTTATCGGTAAGGAACAGGACGGTTAAAATACTCCCAAGGTTGTATCCTTGTTGCAAAAAAAAATAATAAAAGTTTCTTCGGCTGGATCTGGACTCCTAATTTCAACGTGGGATTCAGATCTGGAACCTCAGAATTTTCCTACGCGTTTCCCAGTCTGACGCAAGGGATCGGCGCTAATTACCGACACAATGTCGACGCTATCGACCACTTTCGAACCCACATCGCCCCAGCCCAATATCTAATCCATTCCAGGTGATCACGATTCCGCTGGACCCATGGTCTCGAGTTGCGACCTCGGACGGAGAACTCGATGCCGTCACATTCAACCATGAGTCGCTTTACGGTCAGTCGCTCTTCCTTCATCGTTCCATGCAAAAAATGCCAGTCATTACGACAGTGTGCACAGAAAGCGGAGCGCCACTCGATCGCCATCCGTATTGAAATCCCTGCTTTGTTGAGAATGCGTTTGTCGTCGACATCTTTAGTCCTCGTGCCAGCAGTCACTGTATTCCCTCCGTAACCTACCATGAAAGGTACCCAGAAATCCTTTGAAGGTAATTCACCGAGGCATCGAGGGTGGGTTTTGGACTAGTAACTTCACCGTCATCTCATCTTGTTATCTTACCTTCTTACATGCAAGAGATGTCTGTGAAGCAGCGAAGGCCCTTTTACAAAGTCAACACAGACTCCTCTTGAAAGTAAGATAACAAGGTGAGATTCTCCTAATTGCCTTATTACATTTACCTTTTTAAATATTTTCTGTGCAGACTCCGAAGGGAGAGGGAAGAAATGTCTCTCGTTACCCCCCTACCCCCTCCCGAATAATATCTCGATCCGCTCTTGCCATCGCGAACGACCGGATACAGAAGACCCTGCGATACGATGATTATCAGGTGCTCTCGTGCCGTTCCGACAGCTGACGGAGATTACCGCTTGGTGGTGGGATATGCAGATGCGCTCGGGAGAGCCGAATTCCAGGAGTATATAGTCGCCGGGAGCACCTTAACCATACAGGACTTCAGATACGCGGAATGCACGATCGGGACTGGAGTCTACTTCATTTCCAAGCGATTTGCTTATCCGAAGTGGGTCCACGTCTTCCAACACAGGGAATCCCGCCCTAAACTTCGTATTGCTTTCGTTCTCTTCTCCATTCCCGAACGGAATACGAAAATTTAACACCTTCCGTCTTTTCTCGTCGATTTTCCCGAAACACTTCTCGTTTCAAGAAATCATTGAGCCTAATCAGATCATTTGGTACCGATCAATTGTAAATGTATGCGTCATTGATGCGATCGAATCGATGAGCTCATGAAATGTCGGATAGTTTCGACTGTGACGGCGACGGTAGTTGCACACGAGGGACTTCAGAGACGGAACATGAGTCAGATTCTGAAATATATACAAGTCGTACATGACTCGTGTTTGTGGCTCTTGAGTCCCACCGTTTCTTCGGAAACCAAGGTCTGCAAAAGTCTTAAATACGTAAGTCGCACGCGTTAAACTTCACCGACGCGAGAGGAGCTAATGGATGCCACGAGCATCAATTCCAGAGTATGACGTCTGATGTCGAACTTCGTGGCATATCGATCGTACGACAGTGCACACCTTCAGACGTACGCGGACCTGAAGCAGGCGCTCCGCGAGGGGAAACACGTCACGGTCCTCAGCTTCGGCGAGAGATGTGAGGGGATCCCACCGGGATTCGCCTACGCGCAGGGCGGCAGTTATCACCTCCAGGTCCTCATGGTCAAAGGTACGTCGCTCGAGAGCGTGGTGTGTGAATGAAGCGTGCATATCTTCCCCCTCTCCCCCCCACAATGCAAGCTGGGAATCGAATGTAATTGTAGCTGTTTACGTTGTCTGCGATTACGTTGCTTAGCGAATGCCAATCCACTCCTCCTTCCCTCGAAATGTTCCGTGAGAGGCCACGGCATAAAGCTACAGCAAAAGGTTTCACAGAGGAAGAAAGTTCCCATACTGAAGCGACAAAAGCTCTGCTAACGGTGGAAAAGGCCCTAGACCGAAAGTAATGAAAACAATCAGGTCTAGTTATGAAGCCGGTGATCTAAATAAAACGAAATATTAAGTTGCATAGAAGGGTTCTAAAAAAATCAACCTGTTTTCATGCTTTCTTGAAGAGGTTCCTTCCACAAAGTAAAAAAAATTTAATGAGTGACGACACGACGTAACTAACGTGACTAACGATTCCATTCCAAATCCTGCGGCGAAGACAACGAGACCCAGGCCGAGCACATGCGCCTGGAGTACACCATCGTGGGGCTCAGCCAGACGACGACTGTGCCCACCCACATCACCGTCAAGTTCGCTGTCTTTCCGGATGGGAGAGTGGACGTCATCACCCACGCGTTCAACATGCTCACGTGGGAAGACGAATATCCGTTTCCTGGGGGGTTCCAATGCGCTCTCGAGGACTCCATCCGCTTCCAGCATCGCAGCGGTGAGGCCAATTCACTTTTTATCTCGATCTTCAAGCGTTTACCGCAACATTTCCCTTACGCCCCCCCTCCCCCCAAATTGGGAAAGGGGCCTGAAAATTGCTTTGAATTATCTTACGCATATTTCCTCCATAAATTCATTTACGAAGCAACTGGTTAAAGCAACGGATACACCCAGACATTTCTAATACAAATGTAACCATGGTAACCAATTAGTTGCCTGATTACCTCCAAAAAGATTTCAATTAGAAGTTGATTTGGAAATTTGGTGGTGCGATGAATATTTGCACGATGACATCCTAGAAAAACGTAAGAAATTATATACTAAAGAAATTAATTAAATTGATTAAAGAAAAAAATACAAGGGAATTATGAGGTTTTTTTTTATAACTTTAGACTCATTAAACCCATGCCACTTGATTACTTGGAATGCTAGCGGAACAATACGACACGTATTTGAGCTTCGCTGAGGCCCAGGCTGCCCTCCTGGAGGGCAGGGAGCTGCAGGTCGCCATGTTAGGGGAGGGATGCACGAGCGGACCACGCCATCAGGTTCGTATTGCCCTTCGACGCCTCCTTCATCGAATTCGGAATGAACGAAATTTGGTCGGTTTGCTCAGGAGCGAATCGAGGTCACGGACCTCCTTTCATCTCGGGTCCTGAGGTGGCAGGAGACCGTGGAAGGTGATGGGTCTCGTGCCATCCACGCCTCACAAGTTCATGCAGCCGGTAAAGTTTCTTACAAGTCGATTGGCCTCGAATTCCTTACGGATTCCTCTTAGCAAGGAACGCGTTTTCTGAACAGATGCGAATTTCTTGGTCGTGCTGGATTACACGCTGAAAGACGACGAGCGGTTGTACGTGTCGGAGTCGGTGTACGAGCCAGCTTCAGGGAACGGCCAATTGGAAGTGACGCACGTGTGCGATATGGGGACGGGGGCCCTCGTCACCGCTCCCACTCGGGGCAGGTCCGATATATATCTATTCATCAGCTGTGGAAATAAGTACACAAGGGGGATAAGGGGACCGGGAGATTTCCTTAGTGGAAGGCAAGCCTTCCAAGTGGACGAGAAGTCTCTCGAGAGTTCGAGGATGCATGTGGATAGACCGCGAAGGGCACCACACGAGGGCATAATCTTGAGAACGAGTTGAAATTTCGATAATTGTTTTTTGGAATCCATTTGGCAAGTCTGCACCAGGGTATGCCCAAATGCAAATACGGGGGAAGGACTTGAAGAGAGTCCCTTTCAATCCAAGTTTCCAGGTAACAGGAACCACCGATCTCTACATTTCTATCTACACGTTCTTGCTGTCACTTGCCAGAAATGTCTATGTTTTGCCAGACATGTCTATGTCTTGTCAGACCTAGAGTAAAACCCCAATTCTCACCACATCCTATTTTAGCGAGATTACTCGCGGGAGCAATGAAATGATGTTCCTTGTGTCCAGATGTCTGTGGGCCTGTCGACGAGTTTTGGTTTCATCATAGCGCTCTAAGGAAAACTACTGCTCCAAAATTGGCAAAATTTAAATCAGGCCTCGTTAACGTGGTTTAATTTAAATATCTACATGGTTTTTTATCATTCCCAAGCAGACCGTCCATAGCTATTCTCATATTTTACCACACTTGTTTCGTAACACCGCCAAAACATCGCCTGATTCATTAATGATTGTGTACTCTAAGGAAGCTCGCTCCAAGAGTGGACTTTGGTGTGGAAAGGACTCGTACATTTTCCGCCGATTATGTCCTGGGCATTTCGGAAAGACTTGCTCGCGATTCTACTACATGCAATCATGTGCTAAGAGCATTTTTTTACCCATGAAAAAAGTCGGAGATGAAGAAGAATTGGTTTTTTTCCGAGACAGTACTCAGATCCAGACGTTCTCGGAGCTGTTCTTAGCCACGGCGGAGGGTTACCACATCGAGGCGAGGGTGATCTACGACGCCTGCGGCGATCCGACTGGAGGCGGGGCCGACTTCGCTGGGGTCAACGCTGGCGCGTACCTCGTTCAGGCTTCTTTCCCCAACGCCATGAGTAACGTCGTCTCATTTTCTGGCTGCCTTTGAATGGGGTGGGGTTTTAAGGGAAATGGTGCTCTCGACGTTTTCGGTCCCGGTTTCGGTCCATTGCGCACTAAATAAGGGAACAGTGCCGTGAGAAAGTCGCGTTCTTTCTTCGACAGCGTTTAAATTGTAGGCGACGGCAGTGAGCAGATTACTGTTGGAAAAATGTCTCCACAAACCTTCCAGTGAAGCGTGTGACAGAAGTAGTGAGGTCAGGGAAAGGTATTCAAGCAGAACGCTCATTCTGAGTCATTTGGAGTCATTCAGTCGCGAGCGTTTCGTGTGTTCGTCGAGAACTTTCTTGCACTTTGCTAATCGCTCCCACTGAGATGAGGCATCAGCAGGATCGCTCTTCACTGGATGATTATGGGGCAATTGCTCAAATTCGTATTCCATTAATGACGGTCAAAATCGATGTGCCTTTCTCATGGCATCAATTCATCCTTTTGTGCGCTACAGCGAGATGTGGTGAGGAGGAAGACGAGAGCTCCGGTTTTTTATTATTCTTATCCCACCCTGTATATTATCGCTCATTCTTTAACTACTTGATTTGAAAGAATTTGAACATATTGCTGGCAAAGAGGTGAGCTGTCTCGCAACGGCGAGGGTTCGTTTTGCCCCAGGAATAGATATTTTAGAAACCTGGTTTTCTTTTTGCTTCATTATATATTCACTAGCGAGTACCCAGTCAAATCTCAGGATGTGAAAATATAGATGAATACGGAATTCAATTGGGAATAAGCATTGTTTAATATGTTTAGTAAACAAAACATGAACTATGCAAGTAAAAATTAATAAGCAAGGAACAAAAACGGTAGTTCATTTTAAGCCAAGAAACTCGTGATCCACGCGATCTCCGAATATTCTCGCTATGTAGCGATTGCTCGCGCTACGGCTGTTTTGCCGCCTTTGCCTAGAAAATTTTCACCTCGGGATAGGATAAGATACGATGGACTACCAGATGCAAGTGGCTCATGAATGCGCCCCTGATTAGTTCTACAGTGGCTCTAAAGCAGCAGCGTCCTCGGTCTCTCAACTGAGATTTTACCAAGCCATTGAAGATTACGTCCCATAGTCAAGGGCTCTGGTTTCGTTCCCAGCCCGTAGCCTCGTCATTAACGCTTTGAGTCCCATGCCCGTCACATGACGTGTATAAGCCATATCATTCATATCCCCGGTACTAAAAGTGTTGAAAAGTTTCCTCGTCCCGATAGCGACGGAAGTCAAGTACATCAGCACGGCATACTGGGTGACGACGGATTCCTACGACGGCGGCCTGGCCTTCTATTCCCTCTCGGTCGAGATGGACCTCAACAACCTGGCCACCGTGAGACCAGGTCTGTGGGCGTGGAGGGATGGCAACTGGACCAATGACTACGGGGATCTCTATTTCGAATGCGCGATTCAGGAAGGGATCATCTTCTATGCCACGAGCGTCGACTGAAGCCCTGTGCTCCCTCTATGCCATATCGTTAATCATGGCGAATAAAGGAAGTTGCCGCGCAGTCGGGACCGATTTGTATTCAGACACCAATCTAGAACGTAAACCTCGAGTAACTGGAATAGATTTTCTGTCCGACTTCTGTACTCGTCTCGAGTGATCAGATGACTTCCAGCTCTTTTTGTTTTCACCTTTTATTCTCTTGTCTTCTGAAAGCGGGAGGAGGCTCACACACAACGGCCTGATTGTCTACAGAGAAACTGTCGTAAAAGTTTTTGAAAATACCAGTATAGGTACCGGTACTTCAAACATCACCAGTCGGTCACATGGAGGGGTCCCAAACATTATGGAGTGAACGTGTCTGGAGCTTCCTGTTCCTTCTTGTGCGGAAAAGCCAACTCCAGGGTTGGACTTCAACTCACCGCGTGGAACAGAAGCTCGCGAGTCGAACCCATGTTGGTGGATATTGTAGTGGTCACCCTCACCACTGCCATACCCATCCACATTCTTGATTCACATTAAACTGCCCCCCCCCCCATGTCTTTTCTGTCAAGCGACAGATATGAGAAGAATGAATGAGGTATGAATTTAAGTATGAATGGTGGACCCCTGTCAATCTCATTTCAATTCTCACTACATCTTCAGGAACCGTCAATGATAGAATGGGTATTACAAAACGTAGTAAACTCAGACATCTGAAAGGCATTCTGCAGTAAAAACTATATTCTTATCATGTGACTAGGAGAAGCATATACTCACCAGAGAAGCTTCAGGTATACCCAGACATGCAATACTGAGGCATGAAAAAATTTAAACTAACATTAAAACTTGTATAGGTACATGATATGATATGAAAAGCAGGTAAAAGCACATAAGCATCCTGAACATGACTAGGTCAAGTTTGAAGGAGTTCCATTAGGACACAAGGTAGAAGAGCACTTTGATTTTTGAGGAAAAATGAAAGCGTAAAATATATCTGGAATGAAGGAGAAAGGAATAGCGTATCATGCTGGCTGGGATGATGCTCTATCAAGGAGTAATCACATCATCCTTCTGCTTGGCTGCCTGGAGGGCAGCATACACTTCCAGCTCCTTCTGCTCCTTCTTGGCATTTCGTGTCTCATAATCCAGCCTGTTGGGGATTGAAAATACCTTGAATGACATTGCTTGAAGCTGATTACAACAGCACTAGGGGTCAGTTGATAACCTTACAGCCAAACCTGGGCTACTACATTAGCATGTGATCAAACCTATAAACCATGCAGAGATAGTCCAGGATTAAAATAGGCTGGGATGTAGTCATTAGTAAACATATGACTCTACCTGATTTGATAAATTTCTCATAGTCACAACGAAAAGGTGTCCATGCTTCTATCAATTCCCCCAATAGAAGAATCACTTACAATGAAATTATAGATAGAACAGTCAGAGAAGCAAAAAGAGACAGACCGACGTTGGATGATCCTGTTCACAACCATATCAGTTGTGAGGCTGTTTCCTGAGTCAATGGTTTTGTAAATGCCCCGTTTCTTGGGTTCAGCACATGGATCGCTTCCATCTACATCGGGACTCAATCGAGTCATCCCGTGGCACACCACATCCACTTTGAAGTGATCCAACAACTCTGCCGTCACAGAATAGGGAGCCCCGATCACCACCTCCGATACATACTGTCACAAACAATGCACCTTCATCAAACACTTTAGTCTCCTTGGTAACCTTTTTTTCTTACTCTCAATGCATGCATGCTCCTGAAATCTTCCTCTTCACCCATGTCTAGGGGCATATGTGACTTCAAAACCCTCCATGCTCAAGACTATGGAACAGGTTGCTTCCTACCTTCTAAAGGCTTGTTCTCATTAGACTTCCTTGGAGGAGAGGGTTCAGGCTAGTCTAAAAGAATCCATAGGAAATTATGGGAGAAACTCTACATCAAGGCAGAACTGTATCTGTGATGGGCAGATGAAAGAAGTGTGTCTCCTTCAAACTTCTCTTGTAGGTAGTTAATGATGGGACAATAGCATACTAGTGGAAAGTCACCAGAAATATAATCAATAGGGTGGCTGTTTGCATGGATTCTACATAATGGTGAGAAGCTGCACCTAATATAGGCCCAACTGAGACTATCAACATGAAACTTTACTATTAAAAAATATTTTAAAGTAACCTGACTTGTTGTCATGCATAGTATCAAAGCCATAGTATTAATAGAATATAACCTGAAATGAAATGAAATTACTGTATTCTATGCACCAAGTTCAGAGGTCAAGCATTATTTGGTCATAAGCTGTCACATCAGAAATTAGATTCTGTCAGCAATGTCTCACCAAAGTGGAATATGAATTCCAGTTGAATATTTCAGCAGCAAGATTACTCAAAATTAATTAATTAAACAGGCTGTGATCTCACACCACACCTGCCAAGGAACTGGAACATTGCAACCCAGACCTGCAGGATCTGCAACCCATTCTCCTCACAACATACCCATACCTGCCACATCTTCAAATGCTTCACGTGGCTCCTGGTTGGAGCAGGTGCAGCATTTGTTTTCATCCACACCCTGAGGGCTTATAGTGGATTCAATATCTCCTACATGGTAACAGGAGTTCCAATATGTTGCAGCTTATGAAATGTATGCAACACTGGTCTAATCAATGCTTTCTGAATACCCAATAGTGGTTGTGGAGGAGTCCTAGGGAAGGAGGGCCATCAAAATGGCTCACACAGCTACCAAAAACCAGAATTTCTCACAAGAGGAAAGTAGAGGTCAAAAAGTCATCATCACACCAGAGGCAGAACCAAATGTCTGAAAAGGACAGTGATCAGGCATCAGTGAGCATGACACCAAGACCCTTATCAGGGAAGGATGTAAAGGCAGCCCAACCCGTTGATATTGGAGAAATCCCTGCACCTCCTCACAAAAATATATCTACAGGTATTTCATCCAGTGAGAGCAGAATTTTATTTGGTTTCACCATGTTGCCAGCATACAAATACCTAGTCAGAACCAATACAATAATAGAAAATAGGGTTCTGTACACTATTTGGGTGTAATTCAGTCTGGACAGGGAGTGATCAGGCAAAACAATGGGCTGAGACTGGAGGTGCAGGCTCTCTAGCTGGATTGACAGAGCAAGAGTTTAAAGAAATAAAAAAGGAACAGCCTAATGTCAAAGACAGGTGGGATACAAAGAGAGGACTTGGAAATGAGGCTGAGCCAAAGAAACTAAGAGTGTTGGAGGATGAAGTTCCAGTTGCTAAGTGTGAAAGTGCAGCCCATATACCAAGACAGCAGCAACTCACGACATCAGAGGTCAGAGATCCTGGAGATGTGAACAGACACGAAATGCACCAGAATCCATCTGAGATAGATTCTTTCTTAGTGCCACTGGTAAATACTTATTTTTTCTTCTCTAATCTAAAAAAGTCTATTTGCTTCTCTCTCCTAACAAGTATTTATGAACATAGATACACCCATAATCATATTGTACAGGTCTGTCAGCCAAAGCTTGCAGGATTGGTCATACAAGTAGAAAAGATATTTGATTGCTGATACTTGAAACTTATTAGAAATTCTCAGCTCATGTCAGGCAAGTCCTGAATTCAAAGGAAGGGATTTAGTGTCACATATATTAAAAACAGTAGATTAGCACAAAGAGAAAATTGACTTTCCAGTGTTTCTTTAACCTCTGTGTCACCAAAGAACCCTCTACAGATCACTAATTCTAATAGGTCTGAAATAATATAATAGATAAATGTGAACACATGGGATGAAAACACATCTTTGAGCACATCTTTGAAAGATAAGTATAAATTTTTTGGTAGCTTCATGTCAAAATTTCAATTGAATGATTACCCTGATCTGCACAATACCCAGGCTCTAGATTTGAACTTTGTACCAGCATCAACCTATTTGACTCATAAGAATCAGGATATTGGTAAAACTTTGGAATTTTTCTTCATGAACTTTCTTCCTTCTCTGAAGTCTTCCTGCAAGTGCAACAATCTGCAAGGGACACAACACCAAGCTGTTCTTGGCAGACAATTCCATGAACTGGCCAATCCCACAGAACAGTTCACTCTCCTCATTTACTCAGGCAAGAACAAAGACGGGACTTTTCCTACAAGAGAAAACCCTCCTTGTCCATGCATTAATGACACCCAGCGCTTCTACATTGTATCAACACAAGAGAGCTCATCAAGACCCTTTTGGCAATGGGCATGCAGCTTCATCTGGCCCAAACCAAGTATCACAATAAGCAGTGTTCTCCTCTTCCCTTTTTATTTCTCATTTCACCAATGTGTTTTATGGTTTACGATATAAGGTTGTGAAGAACAGGAAAAGTTTAATGGGGAGACACTTGGAGGGGATAGTGAGGTGCAGAAGGAGGAAGAGGAGGAAAAGAAGATCAAGGGAGCTTTCATCACCATGGCTGTGAATAAACTACAAGGAAATGCTGCTCTTCAATTGGGACAAAACTTTCAAGATTGCCATGTCCAGACTGAAAGAGTACTCCTCATCAATAAAGACCTTCCTCAAGCTCTCAAGTAAGCAATAGTGTCAGAAAGTACAGATACAGGATATACAGGGTGTCCCAGAAACCCCATTCAAAGTTTTGTACATTATTATGTCTTTATTTTCTGAGGGAAATGAGTTTTATATATCATTCAAAAACCTAGACCTTAGGCAACTTAGCAACTGCTGTTAAACCTGACGGTTTGTGATTACAGGTGGTGGATTTTTTTTTAAAGAGAAGGTGTATACTGCAAAACCCTTAACCTCATCAGTGTCATTCACTTAGTCTTAGTCTCTGTCAAAACTTGGGGCAGGGTTTCTGGGATGCAGGGATTAAAGTAGGGATTCAATCTTTTTGCCACTAAAATTGGTTCTCATTCTGATCATGACACATATGGCATCACCATGGAAAGTCATCCACTGCTTTCTGGCACATGTCCAAGCTTATGGCATTCAATTTGGTGGAAATGGCACTGGTGAGGCCAAGGATGTTAGGGGTTTTGTAACATACAACTTCTCTTTCAAAAAACCCCACAACCAGTAATCACAAACCATCAGGTTTAATAGCAGTTGTTAAGAAAGGCCTAAGCTTTCTAAAGCTCATTTCCATCAGAAAATAAATAAAGACATAATAATGTACAAAACTTGGGAGAGGGTTTCTGGGACACCCTATAGTGCTCCCAGTGCATCTATATTAGCAATGATGGGGTTCAGGTTAGAACTGAGCAAGAAATGGAAGGCAATCCCCATGACAGTGGACCCAAGCAATCATTTTGAGTATTCCAAGTGCTCAATGCTCATCTTTTGTTGGTCTTTGACCCAATATGCCAAATTGGTCTACATTGATCCTCGGTGCATGGTGAGTTGCCTGCCTTCATGATTAATATCCAAAACCAAGAACAATCATAGAAAGACTTGTATCCTCTTTATTATCATAGCTGTTGACCAATGAATGCCTGGAGCTTCTTGAAGTGCCAGAGCTGACTATCAATGAAGTTGAGCGTGAAAACATGGAGAGAAAAGCAGGCCATCACATTATAATCCTGGAGCCATCAAGACACAAATACCAGATTCTTTCCAACATCTTACAGAGACATGACGTCAGGGTGAATTTTATTTCAAAGCATTCTGAATTCCCCATCACAGATAGACCTTGCATGGAGTATGGCAATTGTTTCTACTTAGGGAGGGCCATTGCGCATCTCTGCAATCATGGAAGATTACTTTGGGAAGCCAAGACTGCTTATCAAGAAGCCCAATCCAGTCATCAAGAAAGACAGGCAAATCTTCTGAATCTCATCAATTTAGAACAAAGAATTAAAACAATAAATATACTCACCTTACATGCCAGGACGCTGAGCACTCTCTCATGCAGATTCATGATGGGGTAATTGGAACCCTTATACATGTTGACAACTGGGTCAGTATGGATTCCAACAATGACATAGTTCCCCTCCTGCCAAGCCTTCTCCAGGAAATCCAAATGGCCAACGTGAAATAGGTCAAATGCACCCGCAACATATACAATTCGATCACCTGGCTGTGGGACAAAGGAGAGGCAATAAAAACCACTGCAAAAGACACTCTAATTGTACATGAGGTTTCAGGGATACCTTAGGTTCTTTCCCCTCACTGAACTGGATGATCTTCCTGGTTGTGGGAAGAAACTGAGAGACTCCTGTCCATGGGCTATGGGGATTCCCATCTCGACTGAAACGATCAACATCTTCTTTGCTCTTCTTCTTCACCACTTCGAATTCCCTGCATCCTCTCATCTGATGGTCCTTACTCATGAGAAGCATGCGACCCACGAGATCAGTTGTTGACACACCTTGTGTTCGTGGACACTCTCTGGACAAAGAACCAATTCACATTTTCACAAGTGTGGAAAATAAAAAAACAGTTGAGGATGTGAAGTAACCATACTTGTATCTCCCATTATCTTTCACAAGTTGATAGGGGTCAGATCCATCAGCCATCAAAGTCATGTCATCTGGAGAATGAGCAAAACAAAAAGAAAAGCTTAGAAACATTATAATTGCAAGTATCAAAATCTCCATGAATCACATTTTTGCACTTATAAAATAGCAAATTTAAATTATATTCAAAACCATTCTTCCTTTGAAGTTGACAAAGGGAATTCATGGTGGAATGGTATTCTGTAATCAGCAGGATTTGGGTTTGGGAGGCAACTACTCCAGAAATGATATTCTATGGATTTTAGTACAGCACTATCACTCAAAAACATATGCACTCTGCTCACTCTCATGCACTCTGGACAAGGAAACTAACAGCCACATAAGACAGGATTTCCTTCCTCAAGCAGTGAAACAGCTCTGGTTCTTCCCATAACCTACAGGGTGGCTCAAAAAAAATCAAGCTATTGACTTTAACATGCTGTAAATCAGGCTGTGGTGCCTTGATTTGAGTAAACTTTTAGGTACACACAAAATAACTCATTTTCAGCAGATATAAAATTATATATTCTGATATCATGAGTTTATTTGTTTCATCCGGATGAAAATGACTGTCTCCATTCGGAAAACTGCTGTAACGGTCCCCAGCTGTTGCTAATAAGAACACATTTTATTTCGTGTATAAATGTTTTAAGATGTGTTTCTTCCTTTTCCAACATTTTTTTTATTACTAAAACAAAGCAATACTGAGTTGCCTGCATGAAGACTTGGCAGTAATCAAGACCTTGTGAGTTTAAAATGAATGGGAAGCCAGGATAATTATGAATGAATTTACTGCTAAAACAAGGTGGCCAAAAAGTGGTCTTGAAGGCTTCATTCAGAAATTTGATGAGACAGAATTAGAGACTTGAAAACAAGGTAGGGGAAGGCCCAGCACCTAAAGAACTGAAGTGAATGCTGAAGAAGTAAAAATGTGCATGTTGAGTCAGCAGGATCAGCCTGAAAATTTGTTTTACCAGAACACTCATTCATCATTCTTCTGGATTCCCCTTCTTTTTAAACTTGCAAGGTCTTGATCAGCGCCAAGTCTTCACGCAAGGAACTTGGTATTGCTTTGTATTAGTAATATAGAAAATATGTAGGAGAAGGGAAAAAAATCTTTTGGCTGCTCCAGAACAATGGCAATCAGAACTTCATCAAATGTACAATCAAGTGGTTCCTTGAGACAAACTCTACTGAGGGTCATCATGAATCAGGTCAACTGAAGTCTGTGTCAACCACTGCCAACATCAAGAGTCCAATATTGATTTAGTTGAAATCTGAAGCAATTTCTGCAAAAAATGATCCAAACAACAAATACGAATTGTGAATCGCTCCGGTGAAGGGTCAAGAATAAGCTGAATCTACAGCCTTTCAAAGCTCCATAATGCTCAATTTCTCACTGAACAAGTGAAGAATAGGCTACAATGATCACAGTTGCTGCTCTGTCAGTTCACAGATGGCAGCCATCATTATATCCTCCCTTTTGACAAGAAGCTCTTCATGATTAAGCAATCCTATAACTCTCAAAATGACTGAGTGTAGGCAGAAGAGTCATCAGACATCTCTCCAGACCTCAGTCATGTTACCCACACTCAGATGCCAACTTCTGTGATGGTGTGGGCAGGTATCACTGCAGAGGGGTGCACACCACAGGTTTTTGTGCCTCCTGGCATAAAGATCAATGCAACTGTCTACCATGACCTCATCCTGGAGGATACAGTAAAGCACTAGGCCAAACAGCACTTTGGGAACTGCAAATGGACTTTTCAAGAGGACTCTGTGCCAGTCCACAAGGAAAAGACCACTCAAGCCTTCAGCAAAGAGAATTCCCTGACTTCATCACCTTGGAAGAATGGCCTCTGTATAGTCCCAACCTGAATCCATTGGACTTTCTGTGTGGAGCATCTTGAAGAACAAAGCCTGTGCTACTCCATATGCATCAGTCGAGTCCCTGAAGTGTGCTTTTCAAATGGAATGGCTCAAAACCTCCAAAGAAACAGTGTGTTGCAGTAAATGCTTTTCCAAAAAGACTGCAATTGTGTGAAAGCTAAAGGCGGCCATTCTGAGTGATTTTCCAGGCATTATATGTCAAAGTAGTTGTAGTCTCTAATAGCATTGTCACCATTCGTTAGCTGTTTAATAAATTTATAAAAAGTTGAAAAAATTGAGTGCACAGAACTTTTGCATTGCCCAATATTTCTGTGGGAAACACTACAATCAGCATGGTAGCATAGGGTTCCTCATAGGACTAAATTTTGCTGCTATCACTTCATAATCTCTAATTTTCACATTTCAAGCATTCTTCAGTAATTCCCAGAAAATAAAATCATCCATATGCATGCTCCTTGCTAAATCCTAAAGTTTGACCAAAAAGGATTTTTTAGGAGATAGCCTGCCAAAAAATCTCCATTCAGATACAGAATACATGCATGCATGAAGAATACTACCAAAACTGAAAATATGATTGGGTGTCATACCTCCATGAACACAGAATTCGCAGCCATACTTATCTAGAGTTTCCAGCAGAGTAACATAGGGAGCACCTTCAACAACTTCATCAACCCATTTGATGGCACGGACCATTCGATACCTCTCCTGTTCACTGAACACAGGTGGTCCCTTGTGCTTAGTGATTTCTTCATCTGTATGAACCCCAACTATGAGGTAGTCACCAAAGCCCTTTGCCTGACGTAGGAAGTTGGCATGACCATAGTGCACCATGTCATAACTGGGAAATGAAAATAAATTATCATCAATTCTGATGGTATCATAATGTGTCTTAGCTTACACTATAAAATATCTAAGTTACTGAATCAAATATTTAACTTGCATGATCAATGTCTTCTCCAGAGCCTTCTCCAAAGTCATTATCTTTGCCATTACCTAATGAAAAAAGATGAATAACCCTTCCCTAATTGGAGTGATCCAGCTATGGAAGCAATAAAAATCTACCTGGGGATTCAACTCCTCTGCCTCATTATTCCCAGACAGGAGTTGTCTCTTCCCTTTGACAGATGAATTCATGCAAGCAACTTTGTATTAATACCCTGATCCCTTTTCCTTCCATAACTCCACTTTTACTTGGACAGATTTACTTGAAAATCAGTCATCAATCTCTTTTCAAATAGTGATTGAAGTACCAAAAAGACCCTACTTCTTCTTTTGAGATACAATGGTTTCAAAGAGGGTTACTTATTTTCATGTTGCACCTAACATTTTATGGCCTCACTTGGACAAATTATCCATATAGATGAAGAATATTAAGGGAATACTCACCAACCATCAACCCACACCTTCACCCACTTCTTGTCACCCTCTCCAGCCATGAGAACTCTGACAATTTTTCCTCAATATGCTCTTGAATCACTACTGCTCATACATATAAAAAGAACAAATACAGGGAAGTCAAAAAACTATATTGGGTTATATGTCAAGTAAACAAACTTTTAAAAGGATTCTTAGGTTCCTTTTCACCAATTTGGTGAAAATGAGTATGCTTGTCATCCATGGAGAAATGAAAAACTGCAATTTTTACTGCTTCTAGATGAATGGTTCTTAGGATACATCAAAGAAAATTTTTCAGGGAATACTCAAATTTAAATAGCAACTAACCAGATTGAAAGGGAAAAATGAGAGGGAAAGTTCTTTTTTTTAATATTTCACCTGAGGTTTATTTGACATAATCTCCATTCAGCTTTAAGCATTGGACCCTACTACAATATACCAATATTTGAAACACTTCTTTGAACTTTTTTTTCCTAGCCCTGGATAGCACTAGAAAATCAGACCCATGTAGTCCAACTTGAATGTTTTCTTCCAGGCATGATCATTATGGGGAAAATGGCAAAGTTGGGACTTTAAGGTGGATGAAACATCAACAACTTGAGTTCTTCCAGAAGAGTAGAAGGAATTGGAGCCTGCTGGTCAATTTGAAATATAAAAATTATTTTTTAGTAAATTATGAAGAATCCTTGGATTGGTGATTTCAGCATAAGTTTTACTGTGGCTTGTCACCTAATAGATAAAGATGATTGTGAGAGTCAGCAAGTGATTGACTGACTCAACTGATGCTTTAGATTCATTAAGTTGATTTAGAATTCTAAACACGTTTTAAACCAGATAGAAAGCTGAAACTTGGGATAAATGTAGCTGTTTGAGTGCTGAGTTCATGAAATATCACATTTATTAGGTGCACCTATAGGGGCACTTTTGTTGAGGGACTTTTTTTGCTCCAGCAAATAGGTAGACATAAAGAGTTGAAATTTGGCAAACAAGCAGTTCTGGGAATGTTGATTTCAAGGAAAGATCTTACAATTAGGGTAAGTCCATGGCAGACCTCTGGGGGGGGCTAAGAATTCCCTTTCATTTCATATTGTGAACCTTCAGGTTGGCAATGACATCCAATGGCACATATATCACATGAATTAATCTATTTACCAAAAAAGTATTACAATAGCAAATTTATTTGCCTGAAGGGCACACAAACTTGTTAGTCAAATATATTTTTGACAAGGGTTGCCACTTTAATTTGGGCTAATCTTATATTATATCATAGAGGTGATCTTGAACAGCTTTTATTCATAAATTCTATTGCAACTAAAATGACTGGCTAGGCTAGGCCAAAGTCCTTTCATATGGTATGGATTGATGATGAGTGTAACTTACAAACTGATCTTTGAAATGATGAGAATTTATAAATTAAGTAAATGTGAATATGAATTAATCACATAATACTCTGGAATACATGACTTCATAGCAATGGCTTAATATTCAAGATTGGCTACTTCTTGCCTTGAATTATGGTAAGCATAGTTACTTAGCTGCTTTATACCAAGATGTGAAATTCAGCATTAAACCTATCTCTTAAACATGAAAATACACTTGCAAAAAAGGAAAGCATTACATTCATGGTAAGATGAATTTCAAAGTTGAATATAAACTTTAATGGGATAGTCGGTCAAATCAAGGACCACAACCCATTTTATAAGAATACATTTATTCTCGATCCTCAATTTTCATTATCTCTGCTTCATTGAAAATGCCTTTGAAGAGGGCTTTTACTTTAATGAAGAAAAAAAGCAGATGAGAATGGAATGCTACATGATCAAAGTTTTTGGATGATATATCTCAAAATCTGTTAGTCATAGGAACAGAAAATTTGACATGCTTTCATTTTTCCACAGATCAAATGTGCATAGCAAATTGCAGTAAATGCATATAGATGATCCTGTGTAGGGTGTGTCAATTCATCCTTTGAAGTAACTCTCCAAAAGTAGTCTCTGTTCATATTTCTAGAGAAATTTTCTCAAAATGATTCTTCCTATGGAGTGGCTCAATCTAATAGGCAAAATTCCTATCTTAGGAGGCCATCTTCTTTATTAATCAAAATTTGAGATGAGGCATAGCAGGATTCTCATATGGATGAGCTTCATAATCACTCCTCCATCCCACAAAAGGGGAGGTAGACTCTTGGATTTGGCCTTAGCATTAGCCTGAATGCTGACATAGCAGCATCCTCCAATGGCATCATTCTGCTACCAATCTTTCCTCAAATAATTAAGAAAGACTACTTTCCATCTATTCTAATTTCTACTCATGGGTGATTTTAATACATTATGGTTTTGTGAACTGAACTTTACTTTATACTCTTCACATCTGACACAGTTGAGTGCAGAATCCAAGTTGTGGGACACAGTCATAAGTCTGACTCAAGAAGTTCAGGCCGATCATCCTTAGCTGAATTTGTTTCTTCTTCAAAGCTTACTTATATATGCCACAAATTCATATTCCTGTACTCTTGCAGATGATCCTGCTTGCTATGATGAAAAATTAAGCCACTGAAGTTGGGAAGGGGGGCATTACCAAGCTAAACAAATGGCATATGACGGGCCTCCAGACATGATAATAGGGAATTGCCGCTTTGGTGGAATATGGTCATATTCATATCACAAACTAAGAGTCACAAGATCAAGTCTGACCAGTTTTATTCACAAAGACAGCCATCAATCCTCCTCTCTCAACATAGTCAGATAATTGATGTGATCTACCGAATCCATCTAGTGAGTGCAAGGATCATATTTTTCACAAAGCATAATTGCTTGAGACAAAAGGAGATCACATCACATTGTGAAACAATGCAACCAGGAAGGTGAAGGAATTCCTATCCCAGTACAATGAATTATTATAGTGAAAGAGAATCATCTTCCCTAAAAAAATCAGAAGACAATTTTCAAATTATGGATCAGACATGATGGGAAAAGAATCAATCTGAAGAAGGTCCACACAATAAGCACACACAATAAGGAGTAGGCAGAAAACTGCTCAGCAGTCTAAGAAATTTGCAGCCATTAGCAATTCCAATGCAATTTCAGGTGCTATGGGGAAATCAGGGATTTCAGTGGAGCTGTTGGTGTAGCGCACCTTATAGGTGAAATACATACACACCTTCTGAAGGACATGAGAAGGGATTTCCCTGAAGTTTATCTCATTTGTTTCATTTTCTGCAAATTGGCCAGGTCCACTCAGCATGGCTTTTATAGTCCCTGATATCAGTGCATGATCTCGCTTGATGATGAACTCATGACCATCTGAAGAGATGAGCTTTACATACATTGCATCAGGGCCCTCACATCCTCCATAGTTCTTGTCATCATCATCTCGCATTTCTCCAACCATATTTCTTGGGGCACTCAGCAAGGTGTAAAATGTCAAAAATCACAGTTGAAACAGAAGGTAATATGCAAGAGAAGTTCAGGAATGGGAAGACTACAAAGTTTTTGGCATTCTATGCAAGAGAAGGGAGCAAAATTTCACCTGCAAGAAAGCAAGAACCTGTTAACTGAGAGTTTATCCAAAGATATTACATCTAACTAAAAATTACATCACCAAAATAATATTACCAAAGTTTTTAACATAGGCTATTTCTCCACTTTATGCCATAGAAAGCTGACAATGCTGTCAATGGTCAAATGACTTGCAACATGCCAATCATGATCTACCCCATGACTGATGCGCTTTCTTTTAGGGAAGGTTTTGTTTTCCACATGAGATAGCAGAATGGCATTGAAAAGAAATGGCAAGCCAAGGTCTATGCATCCCATTAAGAATTACTTACTGTTCATGCAAATTTGAATCCAAACAATGGTTGAACAATTCAGGCTTCCTCTACAAATCTCAAAAACTCAATTATTTCATAAACAAAAATTTTAAAAGGAGGGATGGGTAACTGCTGCTCATACCACTTTTACCAATGACAGGTAAGGTTTCAATGGCTAGGAAAGGGAAACATAGTGGAGTTTCCCCCTCTTGAATAATAATGAAAAGCAAGACTGTTTGCCATTGCCCAGACAATTCCAAGAGTGCTTAATCAAATCTCCCTAATATAAGGTATGTATGCCTAAAGCTGATTCATAAAAACAGCTGCTTCCAAGAGTACTTCAGGGTTAATTAATGTTAAGAATTGGGTTAGGCCTATTCCCTAGGGTAGCTCTATTTTTATTTTATGAGCCAGTCATTATAGGCCTAAGTTGACCTGTAAAAGCAAATAAATACTCCAGAAAGCAACAAGCTACATCTAGAGCAGCCTTGGACTGCCTTTAATCCAGGGCTATCCTATCATCATGCCCCTCTCCAGTCCTTGCTTATGCTGCTCTACTCTTCAGGAATTTTGCAAGTTGTTTTCTACTCTCAATGTGGCTACCCTTAGGCCTACTAGTAAATCAGAATCATAGTCAAGGGTTTTGATGGTCATTTTCAATATGACCTAGTCAAACCTTAACATCATGTTCAGCATCTTCTATTATCAAGGATTCCATGAATGTGAAAATGTGTGAACCTAGTGATATCAGGAAAATGAATATCATTCTCCTGTGGGTCCCACATCCATAGTTGGCTCTCATGAACATGCTAGGAATACATGACAAACATAGTTCCGATTAAATTTGAGACATCCATTCGAAATAATTATGCAACTCACAAAGAGCATCTATGAAGTAGTTCTCAAAAATTGCATGCTGAGAACTCAGAGTGGGCTTACTCTCAGTTAAAGAGTACTCTCAGTAAAGTGCCTCTAATTTAACCTATAATCTCATGAAGAATCATATGGAAATGGTGCATGGTGCACTCATATATGCCCATCCCTCAAGTGATTCTGTTTAAGAGGAGAGTTATGTACAGGGTGGTGCAAAAGTCACACCATAAGGGATTTCACCATTCCACTAAATTTATTCTTGTCCCTTTCTTTGTAGGTAAGTGATGGCAGCAAAATTAACAAAAGATGAGAGGGTGGAGTGAAGATATGTTCAAGCATCATGTGTACAGCATAAGTGTTTTCTGGCTAATGACAAACAATTTGAACATTTACTGTAATTTACCCTATGGTGTGTGACTTTTGCAACACCCTGTACATTAACTATCAAGGTACTTACATCTACATACTTCCCCACTTTATTTATTTTTCTCCAAGAAGGGCACTGACAATCTTCATCAATCAAGGATGTCAATTGACCCCTTTTTGAAGCAACACAAATAAGGGGCAGTCACTCCACCTTTACCAAACTCATTCCTTCCCATTCACTTTCAACAAGGATAAAAGTCATTCCCATATTTGAGTATTACTTGAGGTTAATGCAACTTGAATTGGTTCTCATTCATGCTGCTCTTGCTATCAAACTAGAGAAATCTACCAACCTCCACAGTATCAAAGTCCCATTAAGCCTAGATCTCTCCATTTTGACCTCTCTCTAGCAAATATGATCCCAACATGTCTAACAGTTGCTAATATAAGTCTTGCATATATATAAGTGCTTATATCAGAAGTCCCCACACCTACCTCATCATTTTAGTACCGCACTTAATTATATTCTCCACCACTACAAAACTCACTTCATTTGCAGGCTTCCAAAATCACAATGCTCCAAATGACTCCTTGCAATTGCTACGCATAATGGAGTAATGCCTGAGCTCTAATTGCCAATTTAATGCCTGATGAGGTCCAAGATCCAACTGCATTCAGCTACCATCTTCAGCACATACTTAGTAATTTCCTATAATAGCCCATACATATTTCTGTTTGCTCCCCCAAGTTTTCTTGCCAAAAGCATTTACAGACAGTGGCATAGTGAAGGGGGGAGTGGGGCTGAAGCCACCCTAACTCTGGTCAAAATGCATCTGCCCTCCTCCCCCCTCAAAGGAAAAGTTAGGGAAGTTCTAGTCCAGCCAGGTGAAATCCCAGCTATGCCACTGTTCACAGGCCCATCATTATAATGGCTTTTGTGAAGAACTTGACTGTTATTCTTGAGTACCTACTTTGTCATTTCTTCACTCCATTCTACCATAACCTGTGTCCCTATGGCTCTTGTATTCTTAAGTGGAAAAACATATTTTCACACTATCTGTAAAATTCACTCATATTCCTCAAGAGATGATGGTCTACCTCATAAATGTAATTGAAAAGCATAAGTGGTCCTGAGAAAGAACCCAAAGGGTCTCCACTCATGACCCCAACTTCTGAAGACACTTCCTCATTTGTAAGTATTCTGCTCTCTTCCCAATAACCAGTTACTTATCCAGTGAATCACCATTCCTTGTATCCTGAGTATTGAATTTGTTCATAAACCCTCAAGGAAGTGTAATGAATACTTTAATAAATCTACACTCTATACTATAACTTTATGCTAAATGTCTGACTGAAAATCACAACAGTACAAGGAAAAGCATAGTTTGTCTATAGATCATAGGCATAAAGGGATGTTTAAGTATAGAATGCTCTTCTGCTTACTGGGAAATCCTTTTCCTTTTTGAAGTCCCTATCTGAACCTTAATTCACCTATCCCTTCCTTAGTATGGCACCACAATCCCATATATGTTCTCCAAACTATATTTATTTTGGCATGATACAGGAATCGCCAAACCCTTTCCTTAACACTTTAACTACCAGAACCCAGATGATCATAAGTTCAACTCTTTGTTTCATCTCTTCATTTCCAAAGAATCTCTCCAAAATACTTTGCCTAATTATTACATGTCATCACGAAAACACACAGAGTATCGGACTTTTCAAGTGCACAGCGCAGCCTACACGAATGGCTAAATTCTCAATACCAGGGTCCATTTGACCCATAAGATACCGATGGGGTTGGGTTTGACAGGCCTATCTCTTCAAGTGACTATGCACTGAGCCACTCACAGATACCGGAGTCATCTAAAACCCTGTTAGATTCAAATGAAAAGTTGCAAGTCTTAACCATCACACTGGAACTGGACGAGTCAATGACTTTCCGTCATCTGTGCATGAAAATTGCACCTGGAAGCAGCCATTTTTCTTTTGTTCCAGTCTCTACGGTTCTAGTGTCCAGAGTTCATGATTTAAGGTTTGAGTTGAACGAAATTCTCAAGTGGCAGCTGCTTTATGCATTGACCTTTGAGCAGGAATAATCTTAGATTCACAAATAAACTTAATTCAACTGCTGTGTCTCCCAACTTGTGACACCTGCTGAGTGGCAGCTCGTGGGTTCAAGACCTGAGGGAGCTGCATAGTGGCGTAGGCAGGAAATCGTCAGGGGGTTGAGGCCAGGTAGACACCCCAACCCTACGCCTAGCTCCACTATCCGAATTTACCTTTATGAAGAAATCGTGGTCTGGCGTCTTGGGTCTGTGGACGGACATCGGACTTTCCTCAAAGGGGCATAGCTAAAATTCCCAAGGAAGGTTGAAATATGCCTGTCAGTGTCACTGACCGGGAAGCCCAATGGAGGGGGTTCTAACCCCCTAAACCCTCCTCCCCCCCTTCCCTACGCCACTGGGGTTGCAAGGGCTGGGGGCCGCTGGGCGCATGATACCTAGGGCAGGAATTAGTCAACAATTTTGCCTCCCGTAAAACACACAGCGCAATGCATATTCCGTGAATTTTTAGGACTTAGCGCGAAATTTAAGATTTAAGATGCACCGATCGCAGACATGCAACTGGCGCCAAGGCACCAGATTTTCTTTTTGCACGGGAAAGTTTTACACAGCAGACGCAACGCAAGGAAAACTCAAGCTCGGCTGCAGCCCAAGGTACGACCTATGAGGCCGGGCCGCCAAACGTAGACAAACATGGCCCAATGGTCATCACATATGTTGCACAGAGGACTGCACAGGCATGCAGCCCGTGCACTCCGTGATGCGGGTCTGCGCGAGAAACGGAGAAGGCGCACATGGATCATATACCTCAATGTATTTCATCCGGGCTACGGGACGCGCAACCCAATGCTCTAAACTGTATTAAAAGATATCAATGCTTATTTCATTACATTGGAAAGTGATCCTGTGACCACCCGTTCATAATTAGTATGGACAGTACATATATCACACACAATGTCCATACTGCAAACTAGTATTAGCTCATTGGCTGAAGGTGGCTGTGGGTATTTGCGTCATAGCCACACACGCAAATACACTTCGAATATTTGCCCATATTCCCATATATCCATATTTTGTTATTATTCAAAGGTTCAAAGATTCAAGAGACTCAACGTGGCCGATTGGAGGAGAGCAGAAGCGGAAGTCTCTTCACACTTGAGGCATTTTTGTGCTCCCACGCCTTCCCTCATTTGCATGTCGTTTGTGAGGAGAAACGGAAGAGTAAATCGAAAATCAAGACAAGAACAGAGCCGCGACCGGGAACGAAACCAGTC